GTGGTTGTCAGTTATTGTTAGCGGTTGACAGCTGTTGTTAACATTGTCAGCTGACATTAGCTGTTGTCAGTTGACGTTAGCTGTTGTCAGTTGTTGTTAGCTTTACCAGTTTTAAACAACGTATAACACGGTATTTCACTCTTACAAACGCCACAGCACCATGTTCACAGTTAGACGTTGGGCAGTACAACATATAACACTTATTAAATTTCACAAAAACAAAATAGAAGCGCTAATAAATAACACATTAAGAGAGCTTTCACTGTTACTTTTTACTGTTGATGCACTGCATTGCTATCTTGGATTCTGACGCTGTCGTCAAGTCGGGGTTTGGGAGGATCGTCCAACTTTTCGTCTCAGAAATCCGACTTCAGGGGGACGTTCCAGATGAATTTCCTACTCAGAGCTCGGAAATTCCGACTCTTGAGTACAACTGGAACGCAGCATAAGATCAAATACTTTTTCTTCATATTGGAATTTCCTCTCCTGGGTTTGAACCCAAGAGGGTGACAGCTGTCTTCACCACTGTAACACGACTTAACCATGGTCCGTTTTTTTAATTCACCTTTTCATCAAGGCAATTCAAAGGCAACATTCAGTCTGCAGCATGAAGAAAGCACTTTTTCCACTCACTAAGGGGCCACTGTGTGTTTCTCAGCGTTATATTTGATTCCCCCACTACTGTTTCTTGTATTTCACCCACTCTATACCGGGGATTGTTATCCATACAATAAATGTTATAACTGCAGCTAAAGATTTGTGTGCTATGCATCTGTTTTAAAGTTTTATTACAGTTTACTTGCTGATCCCATAAATCTGACCTCTTCCTCCCTGATTATGATACATGGAAAAGTTGGGGGAAACAAATCAAGGAGCACGCGGGGTATCATGTCCATAAAAAGTCCCCGATTTCTCTGTAATATCCGTTTGGCTGCGACACAAACCCGGACAAATCAATCAAGATGACAAGTGGTGATGCTGTTTCGGTGCATGGACGAGCTGCTCGGTGTCGCTTACAGATCCTGCAGTGGTCCAAATCAACTGGGGTGGAAATGATATGCTCATAAACACATTAATACATGGTCCAAAGAGAAGTCCAGGTCCATAGAAAGAAAGGGGTTCAAGAATAGAGCGTGATAAGACATGTTGATCAGTGCTGTTTCATTTATAGTCTGAAACGGGGTCAGAGCTGACATGATGACATGAAAACAAGACAGATTGATAATGTTTCTGATGAACCTGTGAGATCTGGATCCCCTCGCTGGTCATCTGTCAAAGAGACCTTTTCTGTCTGCAGAGGAGACTTCAGAGTCCACAGTTCAAAGGGGGTAAATCAGTCCATCTGATGGGTGTTTTCTAAGAATTGCAGCTGAAACTCATTGGCTGTGTCTCATTTCAGAGACCGCATCGACCTAAGTGCCCTTCTGCACCGTCGAACGGTGCATTTGAAGCGTGCATGACGTCACGACGGTGCGAACGGTGTCCCATTTGGCACGAGATGCTAAAAAATGCTAAGCGCGCTTAGCATGTTTTCAAGCGTCCATCTATGCACGCTTTCGTGCCGTCGGTATCCCAGAATGCTTTGCGTGCCGCTGCACAGCTGCGCATTTCAGGTGAGAGGCTGGACTCGCTTGGAGACGCAGCGCGTCTTCAAAGAAATACAAGCAATCCAAAAACAGCAGACAGTCAGCTCAGGCTGTATGAGAGCATGATCTCTGAACTCACTAAAATCTGTAAACCAAACATTATAGATTTAGAGACGAACTGATCCGCTCTGCTTCAACAATAAAAAACATTAGAAATAAGAAAGCTGACAAAACTACAGCAGAGTATCAGGACAACATTGAGTTTTTTTTTCTTTTAAGATTTAGAGATTAAAGTTGTAAATTTAGGAGAATAAAGTCATAAAGTAAATAAAGTCATAAAGCTGCTTTTGTGGAGGGGGAAATGACTGAAGTTGGTCATCTGCAGGGTTATCTGTGGATGTATCAGCGGGTCATTCAGAGAGATTTTGTGGTTTCTGAAGAAACAATCAAACTGATGATGATCAACATTTGTGATCCAGAGGGAGTCGAGCTCCGACGAGCACCACGTCTCTGACACCGGCCGTAGCCTACACCTGCAGAGACACCAACACCTTATTATGGCATATGGATTCATATCATAAATTAAAGCTCAATGTCATTCACGGATATTTACGGCTGCATTGACAGATATATCCTCAGCATATTCATTTCTGCCTCCACAAAAGCAGCGATTTCCTTCAAGTACACCAGTTTTTTTCCCCGTGGAAAAGACGTATTTCTCATATATTCTTTTTTAAAAGTCTTTATACTTATGACAATGTGATGCTGATGTGCCAGAGGATGAAGTATCTCCTATCCTCCTTCTCAATAGGGCCCTCATACTCCTTCATACAAAACAATCATTGGATGAATTTTGTGGGAATGATCTGTGCTTGTATCTACTATTTTGTGTCTGTGCAAGGTCGCACAATTAAAACAATACGTGCTGCGCTCCGCAGCTTTTTTTCTAATCAGTCGTGACGTAAGCCTGAGGGCGGGGACATTTGGAGACCTTCGGAGGACTTCCTGGTGGAGTTGCCAAATGTCCCCGCCCTCAGGCTCGCGTCACGACTGACTTAAAGGAAACCCGCGGAGCGCAGCATTTATTGTTTTAATTGTGCGACCTTGCACAGACACAAAATAGTAGATACATACAAGCACAATTCATCCAATGATTGTTTTGTAAGAAGGAGTATGAGGGCCATATTGAGATTTAAGACTTTAAGGACTTCGAGATTTAAGTCATTAATTTATGAGAATGAAGTCATAACCTGTTATTTCAGAGAGACTTGTTAAAATTAGGGCCATGAGGCATTTGAAGGAACTGTGCTTCAGTATAGGTTTCACAAACAAGGAGATTCTTCATCCTCTGGCACATCAGCATAACATTGTCATAAGTATAAAGACTTTAAAAAGAATATATGAGAAATACGTCTTTTCCACGGGGGAAAAAAATTGGTGTACTTGAAGGAAATCGCTGCTTTTGTGGAGACAGAAATGAATATGCTGAGGATATATCTGTCAATGCAGCCGTAAATATCCGTGAATGACATTGAGCTTTAGTTTATGATATGAATCCATATGCAGTAATAAGGTGTTGGTGTCTCTGCAGGTGTAGGTTACCGCCGGTGTCAGAGACGTGGTGCTCGTCGGAGCTCGACTCCCTCTGGATCACAAATGTTGATCATCATCAGTTTGATTGTTTCTTCAGAAACCACAAAATCTCTCTGAATGACCCGCTGATACATCCACAGATAACCCTGCAGATGACCAGCTTCAGTCATTTCCCCCTCCGCAAAAGCAGCTTTATGACTTTATTTACTTTATGACTTTATTCTCCTAAATTTACAACTTTAATCTCTAAATCTTAAAAGAAAAAAAAACTCAATGTTGTCCTGATACTCTGCTGTAGTTTTGTCAGCTTTCTTATTTCTAATGTTTTTTATTGTTGAAGCAGAGCGGATCAGTTCGTCTCTAAATCTATAATGTTTGGTTTACAGATTTTAGTGAGTTCAGAGATCATGCTCTCATACAGCCTGAGCTGACTGTCTGCTGTTTTTGGATTTCTTGTGTTTTCTTCGAAGACGCGCTGCGTCTCCAAGCGAGTCCAGCCTCTCACCTGAAATGCACAGCTGTGCAGCGGCACGCAAAGAATTCTGGGATACCGACGGCACGAAAGCGTGCATACATGCACGCTTGAAAAAGAGGCGGGGGTAGTGTGGTTTTGAGACCGAATTTGAAGCGCGCTTAGTATATTGTGCCAAACGGGACACCGTTCGTGCCGCGTGGTGACCTCACGTACGCGTCAGATGCGCCGTTCGATGGCTGCTGTATCTGAAATGGGACACAGGAAGGGCACAGAACGGCGCAAAACGGCTCAAAACGGCTCAAAACGGCAGTGCACTCAGCTAAGCGCCGTTAAGTGCGCTTATCACGATGCGGTCTCTGAAATGAGACACAGCCATTGACTGCATGAACATGATCATGTAAAACCTGCACGCTGGCCTCTTTGCATGAGACAGTTTCATTCTCAAGGTTTCATTCTTTTGATCAGTTTTCAGTACAACCAGAGCTCTGCTACAATGTAAGATTTTGGTGCTCTAAAACTTCTCTAAAGCCTTTGCTAATAAATTAGATGGCCGACCGTCCAGCATTAGCCGGGACGTCCCGTATTTGAGCCAAAAGAGGCGCGTCGCCGCACGGGTAAATGCTAAAGCTACATGCTGCTCCGGAGGGGGATTTTGTCCCCAGCCGGCGGAGTTGTCGGGGAAGAAGCGAGCGGCCAAAATACGGGAGGATCCGGTAAACCGGCGCGGATCCGGTGTGTTTATCAAAGCGTGGTGGCCGTGCTGAGGCACCGGGGGGAATCTAGGCTAAACAGTAAGTCAAAATAAAACGTTCACACTTACAGATGCCACGTTTGTAGTAGGATCACGGATAGTTGGTACGGATCCATTCTTTATCTTCAGACATCCAGCAAATCCAGCGTTGAACTGTCCCTCGTTGATAAAACAGTCCGGAGTGAAATGGTGCGCACATACGTACAGATATGTTGGAAGTGCCGCGGGTACGTTCCCATTATAAATATAATCCACCCATTGAGTCCTCAAATCCTCCGTCGAGGGAGTTTTCAAAAGAGTTTTGTGCTCGTTTGTGCAGCTAACAACAGAGCAAACGCTGCCTCTTTTTCAGATCGTACTTTCGCCATGGTTCTGACCGGAGCTACGTGAGCGAGCGGCCGGAAATAATGGCGGTGTTTTGATAATTTTTTGGGCAGGGCAGTGGGCGGCTCCATGGGCAGTACCATCAACCCGCCAGCACTGACATGACGTCATGTGCATTCTACAGCAGGGGTGCATTCTACGGCATAACACCGGCTCTGAGCACACAGTTCCTAAATACGGAGATAACTACAAAACGACTGGATGGAATTTTTTCGAACTTGGGGGGATTGTAGTGGTTTTCTGAAATGGGACACAGGAAGGGTACATAACGGTGCAAAACGGCACATAACGGCACAAAAAGGCAGTGCACTCAGCTAAGCGCCGTTAAGCGTGCTTATCTCGATGCGGTCTCTGAAATGAGACACAGCCTAAGTTAGAAGCACATACAAACACTTAACCTGACCCGAAAAACTCTCAAAATTAATTATGTACGACATCACAACTCCACCCCACATAGTTGTGTCCTCTTTTTGGGGTTTCAGAATATGGTCACCTTTAGGTTAAAATCAAATAAAGTTTTTTAAAAAAGTATAATACATAAAACACAAACACATGATTCCTTTAAAAGGATTTATTGCCTCTTTCTCATTAAACTGGTCATAGATCAAAAGTGTTAGCCCAGTGATTTTACAGCCAAAGTGGAATGAGTGAGAAATGAGACATTTTCATATTTCAGCACGCAATGCAAGCAATGTAAACACAACACACGCGTCGTACCAACCAGCCCTACAGCATGTTTTCATGTCAGTTCAATAACGATTTGATCACCGAAATCCTTAAAAAAAACGATGCAAACAAAATTATTCACAGTCAGGAGTGACACATTATGAGTCAAAGTCCTGCAGAGATTCATAGTCAGCACATAAATTAACATGTCATTAGCATCTGTTAAGACATTCACTGATGAAGAGCGACAATCAGTTTTTCTCACCGAACAAAAGATGGGTTCAGTAAAGGAGCGTTTTTGTTCATAGTGCGGTCTTAAATAAACCTAAACAGATAACAGCGTCAAGTTAGTTCATTTCTTCAGAATTTAGAGCGGTTTAGGTTTGAGGTCTCACCTCTGGATACCCTTCGTCTCTGTTAAACTTAAGTTCATATATTCATCTTCCTCCAGTGTAACTGTATTTTGCAGGATATCATTTGGTGCACTAATATGCCATCAGCATCTTTTAGTGCCTTATTTTTATTGACATTAAGTAAATATGCAGACACAAAAAGCACTGCTAGCTCTTTCTGGGAAGTTTAGGTTCATTTCTAAATACTTCCCTTATAAAGATGTAAACAGAAAGCTTAACATTAAATCTCTCATAAAGGTGTGTCAGTGTATCCTCCGGACTGAGGTATTCCCCGACTCCAAAAATGATAAATATCAGTGCATGGCATGATAGAGGCGGTTAAAGCAGAGGGTTGTTACTTCATAAACACAAGTAATCTGAGTATTTTCAAGTCTGTTAATCAATTTTTTCAAGGAATGATACCACACATTAGACCTTCAGTAGATATTTAGACCAGGATATTCTGGGACGTGTGGACAAGGCTGTACGACCTGATAATTCACAGTGTCATTCGAACCCCCTTCAGTCTTAAAAGCCATACTCTCCTTTGATATAAACTCTTATAAATCAAATCTTATGTGTTAGTGACCTCTCTCAAAAGAAAAAAGTAGGTCAGACTGCTGCTGTAATTTGGAGGATTGTTAGAATTTTCTTCTAAATCTACAGTAATAATAAGGCTGATTGATAAACATAGTCTCTTAGGTGCACATTTTTGTATACATAACAAAATATTGGGGTTTTCTTCTTCGATATGACTCCTAAAGTTAATTAATTCTCTTCCCACCTGATTAACAGCAGGTTTTAGAAAACTCTTATACCTTCCCTGGGGGTGCAGTACCTATCAGCGCCTGCAGGTGGAGCTGCTGCTGCAGTCACAGTTGATGCCAGATCGAAGCTAAAGCTGACTCCAGAGAGCCATCTGCTGGGGAGGCGATGCAGACACAGAACAGAGGAATCACTCAGGATGCCACACATAGCCCTTAAATCTCAGACTCACGTCATGGCTCGAACAGATTTACGCTGCGTCTCCTTTTATAAATACGTTTGAAAGGACTCTGATTTTTTGTGAATGAAATGGTGTTACTGAGTGTTTCTACAGCTCTGCTTTGGGATCAGTGTGTGGGAGTTAATCTCAGTGTGAGGCACAGGAAGCTACAGACACAAATGCAGGTGAGATGAAGGTCATGACCATTAAAACAGCCGAGGAAGACTCAAAACTGGATCCAGTTCCCGCTGTCCTGTGGTCTCGACTGTGGTGGAACAGAGCTGTAAACAAAGACGTTAATGTTAGTCCTCTTACTCACTCCAACTGTTTTAATAAAGTCAATATATGTCAAAATAAGTTATTCATCTACCTTGCAGGAGCGGAGAAGTCTCCCCAAAGGTCAGAGTTTGGGTTTGACTGAACCACAGTGTTCGAGTTACTACTGTCCAGCTCCAACAGGCAGGCTGTCGCACAAACGCAAACACATTAGAAACTGCAGCGAACAGACTGACACACATTTCACTCTATTTTCTGCAGCCCGGAGCTACAAAATGTTTGACTCACTTACAAGAAACTAATTAACACAGGGGTGAAAAAATGGGTCAGTGTTGTAGGTTACTATGAAAATACAATGACACACAAGCTGATTCGGTTGGCTCGAATAAAAATATCTGTATCCCTCCATGAAGTGAATCCCAAGACACAACTAAAAATACATTTTTTATCTCTAAAGTATCTCCATTTAATCTTAAGGTAGCTGACAGCTTCCTTAAACTTAATTTGACTGCATTAAAATGGTGTAAAAGCACAAACTTTAAGCCAGGAATCCATCCATTAGGTGGTGGATATACATGCTGAGCTGGAAAATGTTGACTGTATGCATTAAATATTTCCAAAAATTGAAAAAAATGTAATTTTGCAACTTATCCAAAGTATATATATATATATATATATATATATATATATATATATATATATATATATATAAAATGTGGTAAGTGATGTTACTGAAACTCACCTGTTGCTGTGCCACCAGTCTGGGATATTGTGTTGTGATTGGAGGAGCTTGACAAAGGGGGAGGGGCTATCTTGCCTCCAGGTGGTGGTGGGAGGAGCCCAAACCCACCTGAGCTCTGTGGGCGGGGCTTATCCCTCTTTTTGCCTTGCTAGAGAAAAAGCACAGAAAAGAGATTAATTATCAGAATAAAACTACCAACTGTTCGAGTACAATTATTTCAGTTTTAGACCAGTTAAAGCAAACAGAGTTGTCCAAATATGTCATTAAGATGGTAGATAAAAAACTGTTTTTTACTCCGATGTTGAGCGTGATGGTCTGTCCCTCTTTAAAACCCAAGTCTAGTTTCGGTCCCGAATCTCCAAGCTGGGAGCTTTTACTGAGTTCGTTCTCCTGTTTCACCCATCTGCAGAGAGGCAGAAACACAAACACACACACCATCAGCACTGGTACTGAAATAAACAATGCATCTCAGCAGTTTCCAGGAAGAGAAGACAGCATGCAGCTTTCTGTTAGAGCAGGACTGTATATCCTCAAGACAGCAAGAATCTTCCTGCAGTTAATCTGCACTTACTTGAAATGGTCCTGTAAGGCAACGTTGAAGTCGAAAGCGTCCCCTCGGTCTCCAAAACCCACTCCTATAAAAGCACTACGACCTAAAGAGACGATTTTACACCAACTCACATCAGGGATTAAGAAATGATCTGCAGTTTGATTAGCATTTTCCCCACATTCACAATCTCACCGTTATCGTCCTGTATCCGCAGGACAAAGTATCGGCTGGAGTCGCTGACTGTTTCCACTGAAACACCAGGGTACTCTTTGACTGGCGCCTGGGCAAATAGCTCCCCTGCAGAACACAGTAACGTTAAAACAACAAGATCGAAATTCATAGGGGTTAGCTCATGTTGGGCCATCTCACTGGATGAATCTGGCATCAAGCCTCTGCATTAATTTCTTATGCGGGACATTGAAAGGGTGTTATCCTGCCTATCCTTTGGTCACATGCAAAAACAAAAAAATAAATAAATTGAATGTTTTTATGGTTTAGACTATCTAAAAATGTTCTATAATTATTTACTCTTTCGATGCTCCTCATTCTATATGGAGGGATTTCTACGTAGATGGCTAAATAGAAAGCTCATCTGTAAAATTAAAAAACACTTTCAGATATTATAAAAGGTATTTTTGTGCCTTAAAATAAATATTGATTACAAATGGTAAAAAAAAAACAAATCAATTGAGACATGAAGTCTCACCTGAGACCTTGTCTTCTAGTTTAATAAAGGCCACTTTGCCCTTCGCTGTGATCCTCATACGGCCGGACCAGTCTGGAGCATCCAGCTTCCAGTCTGCTGCCCTGTAAATCAACAAAATATTTTAACAAATATCAATATACAGTATTATCAGGTAGTGGTTGACCCATCTCTGATTTTTTTTTTCTCAAAACATTGCTGCCGTTCTGCTTTTGACAATCTACAACAATTTAGAAAGATTTTGAGGGCTATGATCATCAGAAACTAGCAAGAATATGCATATTTATTTTCTTCTACAGTTAAAGCTCAAAATATAAAAATACAGGGGGGAGGGGGACTCATCACAGGGCTGCCAAGTTTCAGAAAATGACAAGAGTGAGACTTAGGCGTTGTGATGTGATTGGCAGCAAACATTTTTTTTGTCTTTTTTAACGTCAAAATACCGTAAGACTGATGTCCTCACCTCCATGCCAGCTGCTTTCCCAAATGCTAGTTTTAATTAAACAGAAATTAGACATGAAAATTGTAACAAGAATTTTGACAAAATAGATTTATTTGTCAATATTGCTTTATGTCGAGTGGGTATTAAATGTCGAAGGACTGACGGATTGGTCTGGGATTGGTTATCTCGGTCAGTCAATCAGAGTTACTCGAACCATGGCAAGCCAAGTTTACTATCATGAAAAAAAAAATACAGAGTATTGAATGGGGAAAAATAAGCGTGAGAGATGTCAAGTGTAGCGTGTGGTGTAAGAATGGGTCAAACTGCGTGACTATCATTCCCACTGAGCAATAGACTGCTTTTAGACATCTAGTTTTTCTTAGGCCTAATTTCAACCATCTAGATTCTGTATACTTTTAGACTTTGCACTTTAACCCATTATTCAATAACTATTTATTTCAAAAAGCAACTGTGAGTTGCAAAATTGATCTCCAAGTACTTAACCAAAATAATTATGATAGCCGTTGAGCAGTATACAGTGTAGTATAGATATAGCCCAGATTTAGATTTAGTCTAAACTTAGTCTAAATTTAGACGTCTAAAAAAAGCCTTCATTTTTAGACCTGTGGTAGCCTGATTTTAGAGCAGTTGTCTAGGCTACATTTTGACGTCTATTAGACCTCTTTTAGACCAAAAATGCTCAGTGGGTTATTTCAGCCCTGGTCCTCAAACTGCCTAAGCACGCCCCTGAATATGCAGGATGGTTTATGAATGGTTTTCCATCGTTTCTTGGGATCTGTCTTCGTCCCATCACCCTCCACGGTAACAAATACGCTTACAGGCTTAAGTTCTTAGACAATGTCAAACAAAAGCAGAAGTGAAAGCGACTATTCCTTAATTCAGCCGTTTCTCTGTGGAAAGAGGACATCCAAGCTGTCACGGGAGGGAGTGGGACTATCCTGGCGAATCGCCCATAATCGACCCCGCCGTGATGACAAATCCTCCTGTCACATCTGTGACAACAAAAACGTTTAACAGTCTCAACCGCTTAATTTAAACCGTTCACGAGTGTCCACCTGCGCTTTTTCTGACATGAAGGATGGAGCTGGTGTCCCTGTCAATGCGAGCTTTGATGGAAAACAGTGAAAGTGAACAAACACACTCACTAACACACAAACAGCAAACATCGTTCAACCGTATTTCACAGAGCCGTTAACGCCCGAGCGTTACGTCTTTACCTGTAAGCGCGGTTTGAAGCTCGCGGCGGGATGCGATAAACGTTGACATCTGGTTTCACGCACAGAATCGACTCGTACTCGCCCTCGGACGCCATCTTGATTCAACTGTTATTGATGTGGGAGTTGTGGTTGTGACTCATTTATTCGGCTCTTTTCTGAGGTGTGTGTCCGTCAGAGTGTGGCGTGTGGTAGGATAACGAGTGTCATCTGAAACTCAGTGCACTACACAGATTACAACAGGCCTTGAACTTTTATCAAACAGTTTGATACGTTCATCCTACGTAAAATTGAATTCATTTTAAATTCGTACATTTTCAAAATTAGAGATGTGGCAAAATTTTTATATATATTTTGCTAGAAAGCAGTAATATATTTGGGGGCGTGGATTGTGAGGTCTCAAAACCTACGGAAACGGAAACCGTTGTGTCGTGCCCGCTGATGGGAGTTTCAGCTCTTTACAGTGATCCTTGCCATTCGGCCATGCTCACCCATAAGAGCCGGCTCGAGTAGGGGGTGTCTGCAGAGCCGGAGAGCCAAGCAGATCCACAACAGTGACAGATCCACAACCCTCTTTGCGCCCCTGCTGGACGGAGTGGGTAATTGCATGACAGATCCACAACCCTCTTTTTAACTGCTGCTTCTTTCGCAAAATATATTGGCTCAAATGGAGCAAAACGTGAATCACATCATTTTTTAGTAATTAATAAAACTGTTGTCTTGAATTTGAAATAAATCCAAATGTGACAGGCTACGTTAATGACATTTTTCCCTATGCATTTTGCGGGCACTTTTTTATTTTTTACATAAATTTCAAATCCTTGAAAGGAAGTGGGCAGAGTCTCAAGAACAGAACACTTTCTTCACAAATTTCAAAGACTTTTTTTGATTAGATATTAATATGTGACTGCGGTCATTTATTTATTTACTTGTCTATTCAGTTAAATTTCTTGGCACAAAAACTTAAAGATTATGCAAAAATAAAAGAGATCACCGTGTTTAGTTAAAGGAGTTAGAAATAAGAGCCGATTCGTTCGTGATCGACACATCAGCACTAGCGTCGTCTCCTCGAAGATTCCTGAAGCTCAACCCAGGGTTAGTGCTTCATTTCTGCTACAAAAACGCATTTTTGGTACGCGCAATGATACACGGCTGCTGTGTGTTATTTCGATCTCAAATTCGTGTTGTTTCTTGGTGTGAAACCCCCTCGTAAAGAGCTAATTCCCGATGTTTAAGCTGACACTTACTGGCTTGGCAACGGTCGACCGTTAGCCATATTGACGGCAGCTGGTCGTCTTCTGTCGCTCTCCGAGGTCCTGAAGACACAAATTGTGGCTTAACAAACACGATACTTGCTTAGGCATGTCGACTTCCAGCAAATGTCCCTCACAATTATAATAAAGGTGTGTTGAATGTGGTTCAAGCTTATATTTTTTCACGTAGGCCCCAGAATGTTTTTAGCTAACTGTCAGCTAACTAGCTTGTAGCTTAGCTAGATGGCTGCCATAGAGGAGGATGTGTGTTTGTCGCAGTGGTTATTATGACAAACCGACGGACAGGCAGGTGTGGGCACACCTTTTAGCTGCACAAGCGTGCATATATTATTACTTGCTTGTCTTTGATTCTCTATGCCAAGCCATGCCTCAGCTTTTTTCAGTGTTTACCGTCTCCACCCTGCAGGTGAAGGATCCGGTTTCTGACATCCTGAGACACAAACCAATGCAGTCAGGAGGAAGAGAGACCAGCAGGATGTACGCTCACTGAGCCAGATACTACCTTGCTCTCAACCAGCCTGAAAATAACTCTTTGACTGCACAGACAGACTCCAGAAAAGGTATTTTGCATATATTAAGTGATAATGTTTAAGCCTTGAATGGCTTTCTTCAGGCTTGAAGCATGCAGCATTGTCAATATGATTTTTCTTGTGCCAGATTGCAGTGGTTTGATACACCACCTCCTACTCAGACACCATGACGTCCTCTATGCTTCGCCGGCAGTTGAAGAACCTGGTCCAAAACTACTCTGAGGCCGAGGTCAAGGTAAGAGAGGTCAAAGCCAAAACATGAAAGCAGAGGATAAAAAGGACTTTCACAGTGCTATCTGTAATGATTGAATTTGAAGTATCAGGGCTGTATAGACAGCTAGTGCAAGTGGGTAAAAAAAGACCAGAGATGAGAGCTCAGAAATGTTTTACTGCCCTGTCAAAAGATGGCAACTGCAAGAAACTGACTTAATAGATGTCAACAAGCAAGTAAAACGACCATCAAATTAACAACTTCTCTGCTGGTACTTCACATTTCCAAAATAACTGAGTATTAAAAGTATATTGCCACCATGAAGTCAAGTCTTTGGTTTGTTGACTGCAGTTTTGCTGCCTGAGGTCTGGGATTGTTGTCCCACCTACTTGTTTTTTAAGTCACAATAACAAGTCACACCCTATATTTGGAAAAAGCCCCCAACAATCCTGGTGCCTGTGCTCTAACCCCTTCACTCAAGTAAGACTCAAAGTAAGCCACAAGCTGGGTCCAGTGGGCACAGGTTTAAATGCTATTTATAATCATCAACAGATCAAAAAATTTACTGAATGAAGGAATCTGAAACACAGCCCTATTGGACTATTTTGCAGTATCCTGAGGTTGCCACACTCTCCTTGCACCGAAACTTCTTACTTTGCACCTTTTGCAGGTGAGAGAGGCAACATCCAATGATCCATGGGGTCCGTCCAGCTCTCAGATGGCTGACATCTCTGATTTGACCTACAATGTTGTGGCCTGTAATGAGATCATGACAATGTTATGGAAACGACTGAAAGACGACAAGAACTGGAGACACATCCACAAGGTAACAATAACTATGAACAACTATTCTGTAAATTGACTGTGGTTAAAGCGGTATTTAAATGTCATGAATAACTATGTAAAGTTTGAATGGGGTCCCGCATTTGAAACATGATATGCCCATTATTTATAAACACCTAACATGTTTCTACCATGACAGACTTTGTGGTGAATAGAACATATTAGTGTCAATTCTTAGCATTGCTTGTTTTGAGGATTTTGCACATTGTTCATCCATTCCCACCAAATCAGTGATTGTACAAACATTAAATTTTGCTCTGCTGCAGTTTCACTCCACTATGGTTTTGATCAAGCCCTCAGTTACAGTCAGTCATTCCATAATCATGTGTTAATTACCGTGCTTTTGTTTCATACCAGTCTCTGACACTGCTGGAGTACCTGTTAAAGACCGGTGACGATCGTGTGCTTCTGAAAATGAAGGACAACATCTACATCGTTAAAGCGCTCACAGAGTATCGCTTTGTAGAAAAGGACGGCAAAGATCAGGTGACAGACGTCTCTGGATAATGTCCAAAGCGTGCATCCTTTTAGTATCAGTTAAAAGGTTACATGCCAAGCATTAAGACTTTCCATTATAGGTATTATAACATCAATACCATTCTATCTATAATGCATAAGCTTTGTTTACAAGTTCAGGACGGACAGATTAAGTCAGGTTTGCTCTCTCACAGACCGTACACTTGTGCTGGACTAGATCTTAAGTAATTGAATTAGGGTTTCTTTAATGAGAAATTTGGACCATATGCAGGTTTGGTCATATTTTCATTAGCTCTTTATCATTAAGGGTAAGATAAGGGATTTTTTCAAATCTTCTGGCCCAAATCAAAGTCTAATGTTAGCGTTTCTGCCATAGGGTTCAAATGTGAGAGAGAAGGCCAAGGTTGTCCTTGTTCTCATGGAGGATGATGAAAAACTAAAAGAGGAGAGAGACTTTGCGGTCAAGACCAGAGAGAAGACATCCAAAGGTTCTGCTGGTGAGACATTTTGTCTTAAATTACTGATGCTGAATTGCTGATACTGTACATGACATTAGTATCTTTATTTGTCTTTCAAACTGATTTCTTTTAACCATTGCTTTAAACCAGCCTCATCTACCGACGCCGTTAAGGATCCCAACTACAAGCCAGTCTTTGTTGCCGGGGCAACAGGACTCCCATGTTTAGACAACATACCCTCTGTGGCTGATCTGACAGCCTCGTTTGCTGCCCGCAAAGAAGAGCGTCTCAAACAGGAAGCAGAGAAGAAAGAGGCAGAGAGAAGGGTAAGCGTGAAGGCATCATCTTTTTTTGTAACCAGCTAAAGAACTTTAAAGTAGTTGTTTTCACTTACGTAAACAGGAAGTATAATTTACACCACTCATGTAACTTTAAAAGTTTGATTCCTTTTTTTTTTTTTTTTTTTACCACGGTATAATCTAGGCAAAAATGACTGATGATGAGCTTCAATGGGAGGATGCAGGCAAAGCCGGTGATGTTAAAGGTGCATGGGGAGGAAAGAATGCCGAGGAGGAGGAGGAGGAACCTAAACAAGATGCATGGGGGGCCCCTAAAGAACCTAAAGAGGCCACGGATCCATGGGGCACACCTGCAAAACCGGACACAACTGACACACCAGCTGACAGTGATGCTTGGGGGGCTCCATCTAAAAAGGAGGAAGATCCATTTGCAGCACCAAAAACAGAAGAAGATCCATTTGCTGCACCAAAAACTGAAGAAGATCCATTTGCTGCACCAAAAACAGAAGAAGATCCATTTGCTGCACCAAAAACTGAAGAAGATCCATTTGCAGCACCAAAAGTTAAACCTGATCCTTTTAGTTCATCAAAAGATGACCCATTCAATGCACCAAAAGACAAGGAAGATCCATTTGCTGCTCCTAAAGACAAACCTGATCCCTTCAGTTCGTCTGTAAATGATTCATTCAATGCTCCAAAAGATGATCCCTTTAATACTCCGAAAGACGATCCTTTCAACACCCCAAAAGAGGATCCTTTCAATACTCCAAAAGATGATCCCTTCAGTACTCCTAAAGATGATCCCTTCAACACTCCGAAAGATGATCCCTTCAACACCCCGAAAGACGATCCCTTCAATACTCCAAAAGACGATCCCTTCAGTGCTCCTAAAGATGATCCCTTCAACACCCCGAAAGATGATCCCTTCAATACCCCCAAAGACGATGCCTTCACGGCAACTACAACACCGCCTAAAGACGACCCTTTCTCTGCACCGAGTAAAGTTACTCAAGACGATCCTTTCACTGCAACAACGCCACCCAAAGATGACCCCTTTGCTGCTCCTACCACACCACCTAAAGATGATCCTTTCTCCACAACAACCAAACCTGACGATCCATTTTCTGCACCATCCCAACCTGCAAAACATGATCCTTTCACAGATTCAACACCCCCTAAAGAGGATCCGTTCTCCGCCACATCTAAGGATGATCCTTTTGCAGCACCATCGACACCACCGAAGGAAGATCCTTTCTCTGCATCAACCGAACCTTCAAAGGACGATCCTTTTGCTGCACCAGCAACACCACCAAAAGAGGATCCTTTTGCTGCACCATCACCACCAGCAAAGGAAGATCCTTTCTCTGCGCCATCCAAACCTACAACAGATGATCCCTTTGCAGCACCAACAGCGCCCTCCAAAGAGGACCCTTTCGCCGCGCCACCAAGCCCTCCAAAAGACGATGCCTCAGACCCTTTCAACGCCCCACCCCTGAGCTCACCCAAAGACAGTGCAGATGCATGGGGAGCCCCTACTAGCCCTCCAGCCGACAGCAGCTCAGATCCCTGGGGGGCACCATCTGCTCCAAATGAAACCAAGAGTGGAGATCCCTGGGGAGACGGGCCAAGTGCCACCTCACCTGTTGACAGTTCAGACGCATTCGGGGATTCTTCAAAACCAGATCCATGGGGTCTAACAGGTAAGAAACAAACAAGTGCTTTGGTGTAAAAATATTGACGTCTGGAATTATCGCATGAAAAAAACGGTCCCGGTGTGAAAGGACCTTAACAGGGAACATTTAAGATCGACAAGTGATTTTTTTAAGTCGTGATATATATCGATATCGACTGATATGAAAAAAAATATCATGATAAACTTTCTCCCATATCGCCCAGCCCTACCTCTCAGTATAGCTCAGTTTTAACCTGCATTTTAGGATTCTCCTCTGTCTCCTTGTTTAGCTGCAGCTCCTGTTAGCGCAGACGACGCATGGGGCGCACCTGCTCCACCCTCAGACTCGTCCCCAACTAGTGACCCTTTTGGAGACGGATCTAAAAAAGGGGATCCATGGGGCACACCAAGCAATGCAACAAGCAATGGGACAGGTAGATTTCACTTCACACTCTCTCATCCATCCATCATCACTCATAAAAACCTCAAACACCTCATATGTGCTTCACTTTTTTTAAAACAACTTAACGTTCCTAAAAGAAACTAAAGATTATTTATGTTTAAGCAGTTGTCTTTGTTTTTATCTGACTATAACAGCCCTAAAGTGACACATTATGTGTTCCTGTCTATGTGCATTAACTTATTAATATATGCTTTTTTATATAGATTTAACCTTTTTTGCATGCGTGACCACTGTCCTCCATTCTCTCTCTTTCTGCTCCATCCCTCCATCAGTTTGCTGTTGGCTAACAATCTTAATCAACTAAACTCTCTTCCGCTTTACTCTCTCTTCCCTCCCTGACCTGTCCCCCAAAAAGAAAACACCTTTTAGAGTAGAATTGGACCTTTATTTGATTGCAGGGAAGCGTGCAGCGCAGAACAATGAGACGTACAGAAAGACTGCTTCGTTTCTGGGCTCCGAGGGGGCGTCGCTCGTCGACCTGGACGATCTATTTTCCTCTAACCCCAAACCCAAACAGCACCCCGTCGTCAACGCGCACACCACCCAGACACAGGCCATCGGTAAGGACGGACGGATTGCTTTGGTCTGGGTGCAGGATATCATTTTTGACAAAGTCTTCATGTGGGAATATTTGTCGGGCACTTGATTCCGATGGCTGCATGATCAACCGTAAAGATCGGGAGATCGGTGCGATGGTAAAAATCAATGACTCCAGGTGAAGTTTGAAAGCATTCCTCTGCTGTTTCAGCGGAAGTATTTGGAGAGGTAGAGACAACGTGAAAGGCAAATCGATATGATTAAAAAGCTTACTGTGGTTCTATGTATAGCCTAACCGACCCTCCTCCCCTGTGGTCTCGCTGTAGTGTATAGATGTTGTTGTGTATGTGCGTGTGTGTGTGTGTGTGAGCATTAGTGCAGTTTAGTAGAGTATTTTAACCAGCAGATATTTAACTCTTCTCACCCCTCTCTCTGCTTTGGCACATTTTCTCTCTGCTGGAATGCCTCAAACTGTAAATCCCCCTCCTTCCCCTCATCCTCCTGTTACTCCTCCTGATTTCCCAGGCGCTTTCAAAGCCCGGGTCGTGTCACCCAGCCCTGTGGTTGGATCAGGGGCTGCTGCAGGGACGTCCCTTCCTGAAGCGTCAGCCCCTTACTGCAGTCCATTTTACAGTCCTTCTTTTGGCGCACGTCTGCCCACTATGGCAGCTTTTTCCAACGAAGTGCCGTCATTTCCGCCGCCATCTTATATCACAGGAGTTTCTCACTCCAGCATCAGTATGCTTCAGGGGAGTCAAGCGCCTCCTGCATATTCAGGATACAGGATGGTAGAAGGAGGTCCGCAAACGGGACTCAACATGAACCCAGACTACAGAGGAGGAGGAATGATGCAGACTGGACCTCTGGTGGGAAACCCCTCAGCAGACCCTCTCTTCTTTGGAAAAAGTTCAGGTCAGTCCAGCACCTTTGGGGGACACTGGCAAGCAGGAGTCACACAGTTTGGAGGAATCACACCACAAATAGAGGGTGGAGTCCAGGCGCAGTTACTCACAAAGAGCGGGCTGGGTGAAACAGACAACAAAAACAACAATCCTTTCCTGATGTAACACCCCATCATGTTATCGTTCCTATTTAAGTACCGTATTTTTCGCACTATTAGGCCCACTTAAAATCCTTTTGGCTTGTCGGAGCGCTGCAGCTACCGTAGCCTCGTGGAGTTATTGAATGAGTTCAATAAAGTTTGACTTATCTGACTGTTTTGTTTGGCTTAACACGCTTTATAATCCGGTGCGCCTTATGTATGAAAACAGATGCAAATAGACGTGTTCATTGATGGTGCGCCTTATAATCAGGTGTGCCTTATAGTGCGAAAAATACAGTACATGTTTCAGCCTTTATGTCGCATCGTTCTCTGCCAACCATTTTCCAAAACTGAAGGATTTTTACTTTTGTATGATCAAGATTTTAGCTTTTGTCATTCACTCAGTTTTATTTTTTAGTTTTTTGGTTAGACTCAATATGAAGATTAAAATAAAAATGATCTTTTAGGTAAAACCGAGATGCGTATATACGTAGGGACACATTCAGTCACCTCCGTGTGCAAAGTAAAAAAAAACCTGTCTCTTTGACTGTCAGTTTTAATATCTGTCAGCAGCAACATTTCCAGCTTATATCAGCATTTAACATCCACATCTTAACACACGTTACTCATTTACGGTAATTTCTCCTTTTGTGTCAAATTACTTACTGTGTATTTCACAAACTGGTTTATTTACCGTTGAGGCGGACCACTCTCCTCCGTGTGTCCCTGCTTTAGATCCGTCCCTCTGCTGTGCTGTGAGGTAGTGGAACATTTTTTAAGTGAAACCGGTACCGATTTAATCGTCTGGCCAATAAATCGGTTGGGCCCTATCTTGTCGTCGCGTTAATTTGATAAACAGCAACAACCTTCATGGTGCTCTTTTGGAAAATGGTTGGCAGGTGGTCACACTTCAACATGAAAACCATTTATATGATCCACTTACCGACCCAACACCTCCTGAGCTCCCACTGGATGTCACCACATGTCCGCTCATCACAATAGCCATGGTGTCGATGCATGCGGCAGAACAGTAGAGAGTGAAATTATGGGTGAACATGCGTAAAAATACCATTAAATCAGCTGGTTTTACAGTTTTTCATGCACAAGAGAGAGAAGCAGAGAGCCTCAGGTGTGTCTGCCATGAAATCCTGAAGAGTTTCTGTGTATTTGAGTGTCGTATGATCCTGTGAACAATAACAGAGCTGAACTGAGACAGACGTCACTGTAGGTTTTCATTACGTGTGCATGTGTTTGTACAAGGCAGAGTGTGTGTGTGCGTGCGTGTGTGTGACCTGTGTGCACGCAGTGTGTGTGCAGTATAAATATATATATATATATATCGTGCTGATGTAAATAGTGGAAGTATTCACAGATAAACCTTGAAATAAACTGTATATTAGAGTGTTACAATCATGAGGAACTATTTATTGATCTATTTATTGATTGATTTATTGCTTGATTATTTATTGATGCAGCAGCGACAGCCTCCAACAGGAAAGTCAGAGTCTTTGTCAGATGGGATTGATCATATGAAGTGACATGTGATTGGCTCTGCTCAAAAGCCGCATCACCAATCAGCTCGGTAACCAATCGTGGCTTTTCTGTTCTCTGTTTAGATTTGTAGTCCTTCTGGATTTATCGTGTTTCGATCATCTTCCCCGTGGCAAAGAAAAAGATGTTATGTGACGAATTTCAGAGATAAAAACCGAATTTGAACATATCAGTCTCTTAAATGTGCATGCTGTGTGCAGGTCATCCTTTTTTTAAAGTTCATGTGTGGCACAAAAAAAAAGCCTGAGTCTACTCCACGGAGAGCGTTCAGACTTTTCGTAGCTGGGTTTATCTTTGCACAGGACCAACGAATTCACACTGTTTTGATTTGTTCTTTTGTGTTTCAGGAGTCTGTACACGTCTTTTCTTTCTTTTTTATGTATTTTTGACTCATTTCAATGTGAACTCTTGAAACTTGAGGAAAAAGCCAGTTCAGCTTCAGGGAGTTTCAGTAGAGGAAGATGAGAATGAGAAACTAGTCCTTATTATGATTTCTCAAATATAATTTTGTATGAAATTAATTTATTTTGCTGTGTATTTAAATCTAAAGCTGTGTTGTTAACTGTGACAGTATACAGTACATTTTAGAAATAAAACGATATGACTCATACTCTCATAATTACTGTGGTTTTTCAGCAACTTTATCTGATTGTCATAATGATCTCTTATTAGGCCGGAGCATTTATGAAGAAAAAAAACCCTAACCCTAAAAAAATTCTAACAAAAGTTTTAAAATTTTGTTAATTTAAGTAATGTATCTACATATTTACTTTTTTCTTTAACAAATTGCTGCTTTTGAGCCTTTCACACACTTTATTAATCTAAGAAATATTCCAAGTAGTTATCATTAAGCGTTTTGAACTACCCCCCTCCGCCAATCGGTGCCTCTGTGTTACTCACTTCCGGTCCGGTCTCATCTGGAGGCATGCAGCTGCCTCAGTAAGAGAAGTAGCTCGATCACGTATGTGTACTGTTGTTTATTCTACCGTTACTGGCACGGCTAACAGTGTAGCAAGGCTAATAGCAGATGGCTAACTAACTCTAACTTTAGCTTGCATATTACATGGTGCTTCACTGTTAACTCAGCGTGACCGAGACCAGCACAGCAGGAACATCGTGAGGTGGGTTGAACTGAAACTTGTTGACTTATTGTGTATTTCACAAACTGTTGTATTTCGGGGGATCTTTTTAAATGGTGCAACATTTTTGTAGTGAAACCGAATCTTATTCTCCGCATTTTATTTCTGAAAATATCGGCGAGTTTTGGCCGATTACCTATTAGTCTCAAACGGGCTAAAATTGGCCGATTTAATCAGCTCGCCCATAAATCGGTCGGGCCCTAAGTAACATATTCAAAGTTTGACCACGAGAAAGGTGTCTTTTTCTAGATTGCGTCCATGATGGAAGAAAGACACCCAAGGTGAATAGGGTAAAAACTTTTAACTAACAGATATCACCATGAAACTTCCCATGTTTATAATTTATGTTAAAACAAATATTTTTTGTATTACAAGTTTTGTCAAATGTTATGTTGGAATATGTAAATGAGGCAAATATGCACCAATTTGCATACATTTCCAGAACCGAAAACTAAACAATGGATAAAGCCCCTTTCAAAATTCTTGATTGTCTTCATGGTGATATCTGTTAGTTAAAAATTTTACCCTGTTCCCCTTGGGTGTCTCCCTCAGGCTTCCTACCCATCATGAACGCAATCTTGAAAAAGACAACTTTTTGGTGGTCAAACTTTGTTAAACTTTTAGTATGTTATTAAGAACATCTAATACTATAAAAAACAGCTGAGAAACCTTTTGTTTGGGGGGGCCAAGTCATCTTTGCACCTGACTATATTCTGTTTCTGCTGGAATGTTTGACGTTTGTTGTGAACCTGCCTGGTGTCTCCACAAGAGGGCGATAAATTACACACATTTAGAGACAAGATGGACCAGCCACGGTAAAACATGAGATCATTAAGGGAAAATGATCATTTGGCTCACTTGAACAGTATTTTGCAATTCAAACACTGAAACTAGAAATTAAAATGCAACGATTCTGGTTGGAGTTGAGTCAGACGAGGCGGTTTCGGTGTTAAATGAAAGCTGGAGAATTTGGGGATTTAGCCTCATCATTCATTGAGAGAGGCGGCTTACTGTCCTAAAACAGAGGAGAGATGGGGACATTGAGGATTTGACCGTCAGCGTGGGTCACATTAGCCCTTCTTTCGTAAGTGTTTGTGTCAGGGGGTGAGATTTGACCATGCAAGCATAAGAGTTCTTGTCCACCAGAATAAAACTGCTCTTTTGTACACGTCCACAGGTCTTCACATAAATGTTCAAACGCTGGTTCTTCAGTGTCCCATACGTGTGAAAAAGGCCAAACTTGAACAGCCTGTTTGAAACGTGCTGTTCCCTGGATTTCCAATCAGAGCTTCAAACCAATGGCTCTTCAGTCATTGATGGGATTTCCTAAAGCCTGCAGCTGTATATAATGTACAGCTGTAATGGTCTGCGATAAGAAGGGCTGGAAAGCAGCAGTTTAGAGAAGAGCGGGGGACAATGAGACTCCCGTTTCAATCCAAGCTGCTCTATACCATGATGTCAAAGTAATCACTATAGGCCGGGAGGTCAGGAGGGTTACGACAGAGGAGGAGAGATGAAGGAAACTGAAAGAGAGAGAGAGAGAGAGCTGTGGGGATGGATGAAGAGACACAGTATAGGGAGCAAAGGGGAGGGAAAGTAACAGATGGACTTGTGAGGATTAGAGGGAAATCTGGGTGGGTTTCTGATGGAAACTCACCCAAGACGGAGAAGGGAGCGATGAGGGATCGCAGAGGAAAAGTGAAGAAACCTGGATCCCTGCTGGAGGAAGAGTGAAGGAAAGACAAAGAGGAGTCTCTGCTGCCGGGGTCTCAAATGTGGTGAGTGGAGCTGTTTTTTAATTCTCCAATCAAGGGTAAGCTCATCAAAAGTTGAGCGTGAGTAGCAGCTAGATTTTTCAATCACAAGGCAAAAGATTTGAGCTTAACATGATGAGATGATACGGACGGCATTTGACACGAGGACAGCAACAAACTGTGTTGTACTTTTACAGTTTTTACTACAGAAGAATGAGTGTTTACGGTGTTTAAGGTATTTCTCGACACTTTTAATTGTGCAGCGCCAATTACATGAGCATGTTCTGTTTATAAAACTATTTTTACATAACAAAAGGTAAAACTCAGAAAACTCCACAATCACCTTTTCAAAACAAGAGCATTTTAACAAATCGGCATTACAGAAAGTACTTCCAAAAGAAGAGAGAAGAAAAAGGAAGGGCTAAAAAAGGTGGTAATTATCAGAGATATTGATTTTACAATTATGAGTGGGCATTTCTCGAAGTATTTCACACCTGTGGGGCTGCGCCTCCCATTAAAATTGACAAATTTGTGTTTAGTAAGTTTTGAGCTATTAGCCATAGTCTGTGTTTCAACCATCGCTTTACCAGGATGATATTTCCACTTGTAAATATTTGGCTTTTTTCTGCAGATGTACTTTTGTGAGATCTTTCCAGCTTGCATGATAGTGTGATGCCCACATTTTAAAAGACTCCTTGCCTTGAGAGCTTAGTTTTTTTCTGCATTTCAGCTCCTTCTTACTTCCTGAAATGTTCAGTTTTTGCAAAGTAAAACAAAAAGAATAAAGAAAAAAATGTATTAATTCATAAAAATGAAAAATCTTGTTTATTTACTGATTGTTGGATGAAGAAAACACGACTTGTGTTGATGTTATGGTCGCACAGGGGCGTGTCCAGAAGGGTTACTAGGGGTGGCACTGCCCCCCCCCCCCCCCCTTTGAAATCTTGCGTTTTGACTGTCTGTTTCCCTCATGTTGGACTTACGTTACAAACAACTATCTTCATTATTCTAAACATTCACAGAACATTAAGGTCAAACAGGGTGATAAAAGCGATTAAATTGTCACACCATGAAATGATTTGATGGATCAGATTAATCTCGGGCACCCTCTGACACATGACATCCATAAGCATCGATGGTTTAAAGGATTTGATCAGAGCGACGGTGCATGTGGGTGACTGACGGTTCACCTGTGGAAATCAGATTATTTGTAGCACAAACAGGGAACTCTCAAAAGACTGAAATCAGTAAATAAGTTTTAATCACACCGTCTGTTACTGCTGCAGAGTATCTGTTCATAATTCAACTCCCAGTTTGCTGTTTGGTCTCTCCGTCTGGAATCCCTGTTACAGCTTTAAAAAAAACTGCTCAAATCTGTGAGTTAACAGATACTTTAAATCATCACTTAAGGAAACAGCAAAGTATGGTGGCCGAGGACCGCCACTGCTGCAAATAAAAAAGAATGCAAAAAAAAAAAAAAAGCCACAACGGAAGATACCGATGCAAACAAAAGAAACCGAAGCCCGCTGCAAATAAAAAAAAGAAACGGTGCAGATTTAAAAAAATGTCAAAAACGAAAGTTAGCGACGCAAAAAAAAAATAATTACTGCGAAAATAAAAGAATGCAAATAAAAAAAAAGCCACAATTGAAATGAGCTGCCGGGGACCAATATTGATGATGCATCGGAGTTTTACGATCTAGGCACAGAAGACAACGGCGAACAAGTTACTGTTTAATTTTGCTTTGTTAACTTTTCAAAGCATCATTTAGTTTAGGCTATGTAGCGCCTGAGTTGAGGTGAAGTTGAACTGGAGGATGCATGTGGCGAAATCTTTTTTGTAGTATGGTAGGGGAAGGTCCCGCCCTCCTTCGCCCCTGATTGGCTAGAAGTGCTGCACTCCGATTGGTTATTTCTAATGGCTGTGAAACCTCATCTTCTGTTGGGTTAGGGTTAGGAGATTCAGAAATGCGATAATGTTCTGTAATGTTCTCTTCGACGTACCGAGCCGACAGCCCGCATTTGGCTTGAGCGTGTGATGACGTTCCCAGCTTTTCTAGCCAATCAGAGGCGAAGGATGCGGGACTTTTCCCTGCCGTCCTACAAAAAACTGTATCGCATGCTGGTGTAGTGTTAGCTTCAGTTCAACTTCATATCGACTCAGGCGCTACACGGCCTAACCAAATAACACATTAAAAAGTTTACGAAGCGAAATTAAACAATAACCTTTCCACTAACTTCTTTCTTCGTTTTCTCGCCGTCGTCTTCTGTGTCGTAAAACTCCGATGCATCATCGTTATTGGTCCCCTGCAGCTCATTTCCATTGTGGCTTCTTTCTATTTGCATCCTTTTATTTTCGCAGTAAGTAACTTTTTTTTTTTTGCGTCATTAACTTCCATTGTGACTTTTTTTTTTAAACTGCACCGTTTCTTTTTTTATTTGCAGCGGTCTTCTGTGTCTTATTTTTGCATCGGTAACTTCTGTTGTGACTTCTTTTTTTATTTGCAGTGGTCTTCTGTGTCTTATTTTTGCATCGGTAACTTCTGTTGTGACTTCTTTTTTTATTTGCAGTGGTCTTCTGTGTCTTATTTTTGCATCGGTAATTTGCAGCAGTGGCGGTTCTCGGCCACCGTAGACAAAAGAGGTGCAGTATATGATTTGTTTGTCCCCAGCTGTTCTTAATCCAGATTTTCTGTCTGTCTCACTTCTCTACTTTTAGGTGGTCGTCCGGACAAAGAAATCATGAGAGTCATTTGGCATTAATCTGATCCAACCAACCCTTTTAAGATTAACACAGATTACTCGGCCTGGAGGAAGGCCCGAGATACTGGACTAATCACCCCTCAATCCTTACCCCCGAAGAGGTGGGAGAACAGGTTGAAGAAGCGGCCTCGTCCTGAGAGCGAGACTGATTAGTTTCAAAATCCCCGGGATAAGATTGAAACGCTGATCTTCATCTGAGAGTGGAGAGGTCACAGAAACATGATAGCAGCGGAGATGTGGAGTAAAGCAGGTGCTTGATGACAAAGACATGTGTGGGGTCAAACATCTCGCCTGGCTTGTGCCGTGACATCAAGAACAGCACCTCTCTTTTAACTGTGAAGGACCTGATGATTTTCTGTGACCGATTCTGGAGCAGGAGGAGAGCTGGAGGTTCCTCCTGCAACCTCTGACCTCCACATCTGTCTCTTTCTCTTTCACAGTCGCACTGATTTAATCTCATCGTTCTCCGCTCTGCTATCCTCTGACCTCTGCTGGACCACTCCCCTCCTTCCTTCCTCGATGCTCACCAACCATCTCTGCACTCCGCCCCTTTGACCTTTGTCACACTTCTTTAATATCCCTTATCCGCTGCTTTTTTTCTCCATCCTCCATAAATCAACTGCAGCCACATCATCGCCTCACTTAATTTAACCATGGCTTATTACACCTCACTCCTCCTTCAATCCTCGTTGTGATTGGTCCTGTCTGGCTCTTATAACCACAATTGAACCAGGGAGTCGAAACACGTTGATTTTTGGTCGTGTCAAATATCAAGAAGCAGCCATGTTGGAGAATATGTCCAAACGAAACCGCTCCCTGCTGTCACTCTTCCTCACCTCTCTGGCCCTCACCCTCTCCGTCTCGGCTTTCTGCACCTCCTACTGGTGCGTGGGGACGCATAAGGTGGTGAAGCCGCTCTGCTTGTCGCCCGTCAAGATGAAGAACTGCGGGCAGAACAACAGCCAGCCATATACAACAGGTGAGGGTGAAAAAAGGGAAGGTATGGGTGCCCTCTGGTGGACAGGTGCTGAATTACATTCATTAATCACTTAAGCTGCGATCGAGTTACCTCAGAAGTCGGATGTCGGAGCTGGGAGTGATGCTACACCCGAGTTACCAGCGTTTCAATTTCCAAGTCAGAAAAAAGCAAAATCGGAGGTGGAAACAAGACGGGTACATCTACGAAAGTTATTTTAGCGCTTGCCTTAAATTCGGACTAGACACGCGCTTAAATAACTGAAACATGTTCAAATATATTAGTTTTTCTCGGTAATAAAACTTATATCAGGGTTTTATGCTTGAGGGAATATTTAAGTTCAACACCCCACACTTTTGAAATGTTGTGGAGTAATTTGAGTCCGTCAAGTTGTTGTATTTCGCTAGCTTAGACAGTATTACTCACCGTGATTTATGCTGCGTTCGACTTACCTTGGAAGTCAGATGTCGGAGCTGAAAATGACGTCACACCCGAGTTCACCAGCATTTCAGTTACCAAGTCAGAAAAAAGCAAAATTGGAGGCAGAAACAAGATAGCTACATCTACAAAAGTTATTTTAGCGCTTGCCTTAAATTCGGACAAGGCAAGAGCTAAAATAACTTTCCTAGCCATCTTGTTTCCGCCTCCGATTTTGCTTTATGGACTTGGTAACTGAAACGCTGGTAAATCGAGTGTGACGTCATTTTCAGCTTGGGCTTCTGACTTCCGAGGTAACGCCAACGCAGCATTAGCCTGCTAACGGTTACCCTTAATTGTTGGAGATATAAGTACCTCAGGGAGACAAATATCTGTTATTTTCTGTATTCATGAGATTTTAATTACATTTATCGTCACCAGTCTTGTCACATGTTATTGCTGGAGATATTAATGTGGATTTTAAATATCTGATGAACCACTTTACACATTTTACACACCTCATTATCAACCCATTTCTGAAAACATAACCTCTATTTGTTGGCAAACAAAAGGACCTCAATGATCATTTATCATCGTAACTTTCATTAACGAAATAAACGCTGCACTGTAGGCACTGTGAACTTTTTCTATTTGCAGTAAAATGTGATAAATCTGTCCTAAAGTGAAGGATATTTCTAAACTGCTCTTTTTAATCCAAGAGAGAGGAATTAAACTTCCTTTTTTTTTTTGTTAAATAATACTTACATAATCAGTTTGAAGTTATTTAGTTTCACAGAATGTTTCCATGAAATCAGCAGAAAGTTTTTCATGTTTTCACCAAGAAAAAATTTAATATTTCACTTCTGCAAGGAGAACATCTGTCGGGGAACAAACAGCATATTGATGATGTGAGAATAACAGTTTCCAAAAATACCTCTCTGTAAATCCAGTGCTGCGTTTTATGGCATCTACAATAAATTCAAGTATTTTATTCTCAACTTGACAGGAAGAGATTCACATAATCCCGGCTTTGTTGCTAATCTCAGAACTTTGTATCTGCAGCTGCATGTTATCTGGATTCTCCGGCCCTGCTGTCTTATCTTTCTGCTCTAAGCCTATTTGTTTCTGTGTTGTTTTCAATTCTCACTGCATAGCGAACGGCAGATTACCTACAGAGCTGCGTTTACAGCTGAATTGTGTTACACACTTTGTCTCATGGGTCGTTTTTCAGGATTTATGTTCAAGTTTGTGGGAGTCTGGCTTTAAACTACAACCTGAAGTGTAATTTTGGACACATTTGACCTATTATTCTTCCTCTTTTTCGTATTTAATATCCTATATCTTTACTCTCTTTAACTTCACTCTTTCTAATAGTTTCCTCTTTTTATGCTCCTCCAAAAAGGTACAACCCCTGAGTCGCTCCCCTTGTTCTTTCCCTCTAATCTCATGTAACTTGTCATCTCTGATCAGTTTTTCCATACTTTCTTGACTTTTTGTCACTTCTTTCTCCGTTTAGAGGCCCCCACCCCTGACCCGAGGAACCCGCCCTCCAACATGACGCTCTCGCCGCAGCAGAGGGAGGAGCTGGCGAGGATAAAGAGGAAGCAGCTGGCCAACGCCGTCCACTACATCTGGGAGACAGGAGAGGACAAGTACATGTTGCGTTACTTCCACACCGGCTTCTGGCTGTCCTGTGAGAAGCACAATGAAGGTTGGTTATTTCCAACACATCCCTCCAAAATCCCACAATGCTCCATTGGCTTGTGAAGATTTTAGCATCTGAAGGCAAGACTCGTCACACATAACTTGCAATTTATCACTAATTTGACATGATGTATACATTCAATTTGATGCTGCAGCACTACCTCTTAAACAAAAGAAACGGCTCATATAGATATTCCTGTAAAGTTATAGTCTGACCAAAAACCTTTGTCTCATCTTCCTAAATTCGGAAATCTATCAAACCACCAAACCCACTTGAGCTACCTCCATTCCTTCATTTATTTCCAGATCACATGCCTCAGTACACATCAGTAGTCAGCTATGGTTATGAAGGAAATCGTGTGCAGAGAAAGCTTGGATGTCATAAGGACAAAAAGAGACCCTTCTTTTTGTTGGTCAACAGTAACCAAAAACAAATCCCATAGTTTCAAATCGATCCTTTCATGCTGGGATTAACACGGCTCCTTTTTATTACTTTCTCAGGATTATGGGCACAAATTCTCTGAAACAGATTTGTTTATATCATCCTGCTGCAAAATAACACATCGCACATGCAAGACAGATTGTGTATTGAAGAAAGAAAAATCTAGTTATCAGTAAGTCTAGACTTGTCTAATCTCTCCTTAATATGATTTTCACCATCAGTGTTTTTCTCTTTGACCAAGAGTAAAGATCATTTCTAATAGATTAATATAAAAGCTGCATGTGGCTCTTAAATGGTTCTGGTCTGGGATGATGCTGGGGTTGACGTAACATCTGGAAAAGAATCATTTTTTAAGACTGAAACAAATAATAAGTGAAACAGGACCCAATACGGAGCCTTGTGGAACTCCGTTATGCCCAATTTTTTGCATCATTTTGGAAAATAAACAAAGGAGGTAAGTTAACATCTGAATAAGACTATGATTTAAGTGGTTTAAGTAGATATACATTATGTTGTTTTATGTGTGTTAGTGTATACCTAATGCCATCCCAGCTCAGTTTGACTGCCTCAGTTGAAAAGGTCTGGCTCCGACCCGGTTCGGTTAAAATATTAAAAATCACAGGATATTTATAAGACCACAAAAGTTGTTTTAGATTATCACATGATGTGATTGTCCTTACAGGCAGTGATCAGGAGGAGAAGTGTCGCAGCTTCATCGAGCTGACTCCAGGAGAGACACAAGGTTGGTTTTTTACCACACAGAGTTTTCACTCCTCCTTAAAAAACCTCAAAATTTGGATTCCAAATCAAGGTTATCATGTCAGTGAGATCTTTCACCTCTCGCTCTTAGGTGTGCTGTGGCTGTCAGTCATCAGTGAGTTCATGTACATCGGTCTTCTGGCCATGGGCTTCTTGCTAATGTGGGTGGAAGCAATCTGCCTCTGCGCTAAGAGGGAGATGAACGCTTTGAAAATCAATGCCTTCGCCGCCATGTGCACCGTCCTCTCAGGTGAGCGAAGAGGACGCTCTGACTTCCTGTTACAAATGTGCCTGTTTCTTTCTTGAACTTTATTGGTTTTAAGATGGTTTCACTAGTCCTCTTTCTCACATTCTGTCTTTCTTCCTTTCTTCCTCTCTAGGTATGATGGGGATGGTTGCGCACATGATGTACACCACAGTTTTTCAAATGACTGTTAGCATTGGGCCTAAAGACTGGAGGCCACAGAGCTGGGACTATGGATGGTCTTTTGCGTAAGTTTGATACAATAAAACGAATATTTCCTCTCATAAAAACAACTCAAAGATAAACCTGCGATTTAAAAAAGAGTTTTGGAATTCAACCAAAGAGACGAGCAGGAAGACTAGGAAGCAGAGAACCACAGACGATGACGATGCGTTTTGTTATGTCTGTGTAGTCAACATTTTAAAATTTTTGAGCTGCCCGCTCTATCTGACCGTAAACAAAGCCGTTCTCTGCTTCCCCCAACCTGATTGGTCGTGAGGCGGGCGCTGCTCCTCAGTGCTGATTGGTTGCTCCCCTGTATCGTTCACGAGCCCAAACAAAGTTAGCGTGCTACAATATCAGACAGTCGAAACCAACCAGAAAGTACAGAAAATTGTCTGAATCCTCCTTTGGCCACGACTGCCGACACAAGCAAGAGGTAGACCACCCGGACAAGAGCTAAAAAGCTGGTTCAACATCAATGTAGCTAGCATAAAAGATGGGGGACGCTCCGGGATCTTGGTGACCCTGTAACCTTTCTGCTGGACAGGTAAACCGCTTTAACAAAGTAAGACAAGTGTCTGTAACAGGAGTGTTTCTTGTCAAACAGGACCTGCTGTAGCGTGTTGTAGCGCCATCGCTAAACTGTTGACCTCGGGTCCTGGACTATGTCACTTTATCCTAGTTGTAGAAGTCCTGCAAACATTGTGTTTGCTGGTAGTCTGTTGGCATCTACAGTAGCACCAATGCTTTTTACTTTCACATTGACTGGGCCCCATTTGTAATCATCTTAATTGAAACGATACGAGCGAGCAGGAGTAGCTAGCACTGGCATGCTCATCACTGGTTAGCAAGTCGGTACTAGCGCACCTGCTTTTGTAGTTTTCCACTTAGCTCTGAAAATAGAGACCCCTCACCTGATCTTTGGTGTGCCACTAGTTATATCAGTCTGTGTCAAGTGATGGAGATTGAATGTTTTCTTCCTTGTTCTCTCCAGCATGGCGTGGCTGTCATTTAGCTGCTGCATGGCCGCCGCCGTTGCGACACTCAACTCCTACACCAAGACCCTCATTGAGATGAAGCACCGTGCCCGACTGAGGCTGGAAGAGGCCCGTCTTGCTGCCCGGGCGCCCTCTTACGAAGAGGTTGTTCGCAGCAGCGGTGGTGGAGGGGTTTACTCTGTCAGTCAGCTGATCCAGCTGGGCCAGCAGGGGGTGCTCGTGGACCCTCTTTGGCCCAGAGGAGTGGGACCAGCAGTTGGACCTCTAGCTTGTAGCGCAGGGGCCCTGCTCGTCGGTGGAGGAGGACTTGGAGTTAACGGCGTTGGAGCTGATGGCGTTGGAATGGGAATGGGGGGAATGATGGCGATAGGAGGAGTCGGTGGGAAGGGGGTTGGAGGGAATGGAGTTGGAATGGGTGCTGTTGGAGGGATGGGAATGGGAGTGGGAGTGGTTGGACCAATGGGAGGGATGGGACTTGGCGGTGGAAGGCTGGTGGACCATCACGGAGTTGTGGTGGTGGAAGGATGTGGCGCTGAAGGATGTGAGGACTGTGAACGGGAAATGGACGAGATGGATTACGCTATGCAGGAAGAGCAAGAGGGGGAGCTCTGCTAAGACTAAGAAAACTGTGACGAACATCAAAACTTTTACACGTCGACCCAAAACTCTGTATATGTGAACATTGGAGAGAACTGTGCATTTTCAAGTTTGCAGGATTCCACAATTTTTCATTTACCACCAAGAGACAGAGACGAAAAATAAGAAGAAACAACCTTTGACAGTCACCTCTTAACCTCTGTACTGATGCTGCAATAATGTCTGCAGAATCACATCATTACGGACATGTCCTCATGATTGTAATCGATCCCAGAGGACCGTTCAGACATCACTTTTCTCTCCCTCATCCAGGAGTTGGGTTGTGTTGGCAGCAGAGTGAGCCATTCGGAAAGTCCAAAGTGTTCCCAGGCCAGATGGGACGAGTAATCCCTCCAGCAAGCTTGTCATGGACACAACAGCCGCTCCATATGTCCGAAAGGAAACTTCTAAACAGCTGTTTCTCACCAAATATCAAGACATCCAAGAAAAAATGGTTTTGCATGCATAGTTTGCTCACATTGCTCACCTGTCATGTGATATCTTTTGAACAAACTTCCACAAACAGACCAGAAAAAACTGAAAACAGAAATAATAACTATTTATTTTCTCATGTTAAAGCAGCCTTATATTTGTTTGTTTTTTTCAGGTATTACGGGTGATTTTATGACTTAAGATGTTTGAAAGGAAGTGAGAATGAATGGACATGTAAAATCTACTTAAAATGAACAAATCTGTAACAGAGATTTGGCGTTAATTTATGTTTGCATGAACGGATGATTAACCCCCTCAGGTAGGTTCATAAATAAAAACATATTTATTGACACGTGTGGTCTTTGAATGTTTTACGTTAATGGAGTTAGAGAAAGTTTTTGGGTGTTACTTTTTACACAGCGAGGTCAAGAAATGGCCCTAAAGCGATGTCTACTATTGTTCCATACAGCAGCAACTAAAGAAATGCTCCTTCATAGAAAAGATTACGTACAAATCAGTGGCGATTGCTCTAAGACTGCAAGGGAAGCTCGGCTTCCCTTAAAATGTCACCCCCCAAAAAAAAGAAAAAGTGGTGAAATACGTACTGCTGTGTGTACATTTCATTAACTAAATACGCACTAGAAAGCCTTCATCTTTTGTTCAGACACTGTGATAAGAAGCTGATAATTATAGGTAACCGGCATAACTTCGTTCTCATTCATCCTCGCAGCGCCTCAGCGCTTTAAACAGCCGGACGCTGGGCTTCTGCTGACTTCAATGTGGAAGCTAAAAGTGGGTTGTTCCAGCAGCGAAACTAGACGCTCATTGGATAAATGCTGGGCTTTGTCCCGCCCAATGGAAGCTAAGCTTCACTGGAGTTCTATGGCGAGAGGGCGGTCCCCACTTTCTCCCGGACTGCAAGCTTCTGCATCCATGATTGGATGAGCTGTCTGAGGCGAAATCCTTTTTTGATTGACAGCTAAACAAGCGAATCAGCGATCTTGAAGAATAAACCATCTACCAGAGCATTTTCCAAGTCATTCATTCCGTTGTTCTTAACTGCTCCGGAGACTTTACCGATCCTCAGCGACTTCTGTCTTTATTAAAAACGACTGCCGTTGTGTTTGGCGACTCTGTTCTGTTACATACTAATAAACAAATACAATTATGATGTAGGCCAGAAAAATGAGCTTCCCCTCATTGAAAGACCAGCAGCCGCCACTGGTACAAATCAAGTTGAAGTTCACACTCTTTATCCTCTCAACTGATTTGAGAGCCTGCTTCAACAGTCTTTAGATTTATCAGTGAAATTTAAAAGAAGTTATTTGCCGAGATTCGTTATCCTTTTTTCAACCCGGTGTAAACTCGGCTTACCTGTGTTTTTCATTTCTTGGTGTTTGTTTATCTTCGAAACAAACGCGAAGAAGCGAATGAGAATCAAAGATTACAGCAACAAGAGAGATTAAGACATTAAGGCAGCTGCTTTCAAATACTGGACAGAAGATTATGTCAATAATCTCCCCAGTCAGGACAATAAGACGGAGAGAGAAAGAGGGATTGACATAGAGAAGGCGGCACACAGTCAGGTCACTGAGCAGCATGTGGAAAGTAATTAAAAAAAGACAAGTAAAAGACTGAATTACACAACGCTTTTATGTAAGAGGGCTTCAAATGGCGTGTCATTTCTGCGATTTATTTCACAGTTCAGATTTTCCTCAAAAGACCCCCAAAGTGGGGAATATAGAGGATAGATTCAATTGAGTCTGTGAAGTATTTAAAAAAACATACGAAAACAGATTATTTAAACTATTATCAGAAACAATTAGATGACCAAACATCGTCCTGTTTTCTTGGACTTTTCCTGCCCTCTCTTGGATCTATTTTAAACTTTTTGAGTATTTAACCCTCTTTTTTTGTGATTTAAAAATGGCGAACAAGTAAAAGACGTTTTGCGGTTTGTTTGGCTTTTCAACAAAGTACCAGAAAATAGGAGCAGATGTCTTAAGAAAGTGGAGCAGGAAAGTAAACCAGGTCCTGTCATTATGACACAACATTAATCTTTTATCTTGAGGCCATTATCTCGTACGCCTTGTGTAACGTCACAATTTGGCCAACGGGAAGGAGGTCAACCGCGAACATCTGGAGGGAAGCGAAAAGTTCGACTCTTTGTGTTCGGACCGATAACTTTCCCGACAGCAAAATACGAAGTAAGCTGGACATTGACAGGAGCTTTTAAAGGATCTCTCCTCACTTTGTCGGCATGTTTTTGGATTTTTTTGATTGATTTTAAAACACTCACATCAAACCTGTGGTGTTAATCATCATCTTAAGATGCAGATATGACAAACGCATCTTACTCTAGGTCCGGTTTCTCTATGCCTTTTCTTAATTTTTGTCAGGTTACGTCTGGGTTTCTGAACAAAAATAACACAATAATTCCACAAACCCAGCATTAGCGTCGTCCATCACTGACGGCTGCAGGTAAATGCTGTCGGATATGTTGTTGAGAGTTGACCTTGGTCGTCTATTTTCAGCCAGGGGTCTTAGGTTTGAGCCACAGATGATCTATTTCTAAGCTTTAGCAGGGGGAATTTAGCTCCACCAGTTAACACCACAGAGACGCTTGACTGTTTTAAATCTTTAAAAGGTGCAGCAGGGAGAGTTTAGCTGCATTTATCAGAGTAGACTTGGTAGAAATGGAACTGAAAATTCAGGTGTGTTTAAATAAGTGTCAGTAATCTGTAAAACATCTTGAATCCATACCCAACACTAGATACCAGATACATGTATGTGGTCCTGCAATCCCAAGCTTAAAACATTTCCCGATTTGTTTGTATTTTATGCTGTCTTTATAACTTACTTTTCAGAATCCACTTGCAATTGACTATTTTTAGACCTGTGGCAAAGACTGAAAGGGATTATAGGTGCAGGTATCAGGATTCCCATTTCTAAATTTAACCTCTTGATGTATTAGGACTTTTACAGCGTACGCCTTGGACTTTTTAAGTAGAGCCTTCAATTGTTAATATTTCCCAAACTATTTTTTTTTTGTATATTTTCTTTAATTAATTTTCTTCAACAGTGTATAATACAATATACGTGGGGGTGGAAGGGGAACATATAAGAAAAATAAAGGAAAAAAAATTAAAAATTAAATTAAATAAATAAAAAAAAATATATATATTTATTTATATAATTTTTTATTTTTTTTTATACATGGAGTGGAAGGGGAACACAAGAAAAATAAAGGTAAAAAAATTTAAAATAAAATAAAATATATTAAAAAATAAAATATATATTTATTTATTTTTATTTTTTTTTTAAATGTGGGGGTGGAAGGGGAACACATAAAAAATCAAGGAAAAAAATAATTAAAACATTTATATTTTATTTATAATTTTTTATATTTATTAATTTGTATATATTTTGTAATTTTTCTGTCTTTATTTTTTCTTTATTTTATTTTCTTTCTTTCTAAAACTTCTTAAACTCTTAGGATTCACTTTTTGGGGCAGGAATCTAACACTCTCATGGACCGAGTGGATTTTACTTGTTTTGTTCTGGCTGATTCTATACATGCTCCATAATTATGTCTCATACAATAGTGTCGACCCTGGGGGTTTATTAACAAATATAAGACAATATAATATTACATTCGTATTTTGTTGAAATAAAAAAAAAGTGTGTCCTACATTCTAGTCAATATGGTACTTACCTGCAGCAAATCCAAATCCTTACAGCTGCTTTTTGTAACAGATACGAGTACTTCCAATTTGCCCCTTACAACCCAGACCCAAGATTGGCTTGAGTGATAATCTGGAAAGCAAAACTAAAAGCTTTCAAACCAGGTTTTCTGATGGTACTGTGGGTTTATTTTCACTCAAACTTCATCGTCAGCCTCTGTAAGACCTGTAATGACAAAACACAACTAAACACACCCCTCTTTCACTCAGTCCCACAATCACAGTTTCAAGACAAAAACACAGAAGAGTGAAATAAAAAAAGCCGTCAGAGACTTTGGTTTGTATAACAATTTTATGGTTTTAAAGTGATTGAATTTATTATGGGGAAAATCAAATTTTACATGATGCACATGAATAAACCTTTTCTGTTGTTAGTGAACTGAACTGTAACATCAAATATATGTTTGTGCACATGAACGGATTGAAATACAGTACATACACAGCATTAGAGCGTAACTAAAGCCCACGTATGATATACATGTCTGCACGCTGGTTGGTGGTTCGAAAATCATTCAGTAGAGAAAAGGGAACACAATTCATGACAATAATACTCTCGCTAAAGCACAGGACGCGGTTTTATTTTGAGAATTTAGCTCGGGGTTGCTAAAACAGACCGTAATGATAAAAAAAAATGCAAGAAATTCAAACTACTGAACATTTTTGAAATGTAATACTTCACTTGCTGCAACTTCAGTGAATTTCAGATTTTTGAGTAGTAAGAGATGTCGTGATCTACTCCGTGGTAGACTCAGACATCCTGTGAACCTTAATGTGAACGGTAATCTCAGGCTATCACTCCTGCATTGATGACATACACCAACAGCACGCACACATGGGTTACAAATGCAATGAAAACACAGAAGGAGATCCTGATAATTACTGTGAAGAGACGGGGTGTTGGCGTCACACCTCCTGTAGTCGCACATTTAGTGAAGATGTGGTGAGGTGTCCTGGTAACAGCAACAGTGAAGTAAAAAGATCTGGAAAAGGGGGGGCTGGGAATCAGAGACCGAGTTACTTTGATGGTTGATACTGAATCAAACGGAGGGCGGCGTCATTGTCCATCACTCCTTTGATAAACTCTCCTTCTGCCACTCGATCTGTAGTAAGAAAATTTACAGAGAAATGAAGGGAAAAAGATGGATTTAGGTTTGTTATTAGAGAGCAACAATATTAAAGAAACATTTAAGAATGGCTCCAGGGTGGAGAACGTGAGCACATGGGTAACGCATAAACGCATAAAAAGGATAATTTATTTGTAAGGATTAAAGTGTTGTCAGGGTGATCTAATCCCACAAATCCAATCAACTAATTTCATCTCTACCTGTTGGCCCTGTGGCAAAAATGTTGGTTTCAATTGACAACCAACCCAGAGGACATTTTTCATGATAACTTGAATTTATTTACAGAACACAGATCTCGAATTATCTGGAATATCTTGATTTAAGGTATTAGTTTATCAATAAACCAGAGTCAAATCAACTAAATCATCTTTAAGTTGGTTGAGTTGGTTGTCAGGTAATCAAAAGGATCATTTGAACCCAAGACCCCACTGCTCTGTGGTTCTGCCATGTCAAACCCTCTCCAACATCCTGCTCACTGTACATCATCTCTTTTGTATGATGAAAACCCAAAACCAAAACCCTCGACCGCCAATTGGTGATGTCACAAATTGACCAGATCGGTTTCCCGTCTGGCATAATTCTTTCGTGACTTTTTAACAACCTTTTTACAGCTTACACAAGTTGGCCTCGCCATCTGAAACTTTGCTCACATTTAGTGTCAATACCCAACATTTTATATACCACCCCTTTTTTGCTCCAGTTGAATGATAACTAACCAGAGGTATTTTTGTCATTTCTGTTAGATTTCTCACCTTCTTCTCAAACATGTAAGGAGCTATGCCATGACGTACAAGCTACGACGTACACACTGCTGGATCTTATTTCCCAGAGACAACACTTTTCAGACATGTTTGATGGATTTGCAGATGTCGATAGCGTCATTTCTCACCATTCTCGCCCTTGTTGAAGAACTTCCAGAGCTTTTCTGCCCTCTTGTCCGCCGTGTTTTCATCCTCAGGCAGATTGGCCAATTCATCTTTGGGAATCAGCTTGAAAATTGACTGTCGAAGTAGAAAAACATAAAACATTGTACCCATCCTTGTTCACAGGTCTCTAGACAAGAGTAATTTTCCCCTGACCCCTTTTTTACAATTCAATCATCCCAGTCAGCATAGTCAGAGGTGATGTAAACTATCATATTCTGGAGTCGGCTGTCAAGACTGCAAAAGTCACACCAGTCCATCATTAATCCCAACCACAGTGTGAGTGTGTTCATACACAAAAAAGTACAAACTGCTTTGGTGCAAAGGATTAGCCAATCTGCTCTTTGGCTGCTTTGTCATTGTACTGTGATTAAACCCCCTGTCATCTTTTGAATTAAATTGTGCTCTACAAATAGGTCTGATGGGGGAGTGAGGAATCAAATCTGGCCTAAAAATAGAGTAGTTTATTTTTGTTATGTAGTGCAACGCCAGAGTTAACACAGAAATCTTGAGAAGAACTTTGAGATTTTCACCAATGACTCCTAGACTTCTGTTATATACTTTTAAAGGACACTTGTAATCAGTCAAAGAAATTTCAGCGTTGAAAAAGATTTCAAGAGATAACTGGAAAATAACAACAAGGTTTCCAAAGCAGTTACAAATGTTCAATCAAGCTGCACTGAAGAGAAAACAAGATGACCCCTAACCCTGTCTTTTAAGAGGTTGTGCCAAATGAGAGAGAAAAGCAACCCAAGAAGCAACATCAGTGGTGCATCATTTGAAATAGAAACATTTACCAACATCACATCCACATACAGAAGTGTTTAAGACAAAAGTTTGACGTGTTTGAGGTAAGATTACATACAGCTTAGTTTTTATTTGCAACTGTCAAAAGCTCATTCAGAATTAGCTGTCATGTCTGTTAAGTTTTCTTTTATTTCTGTGAATTTATTGGTTAAATTTCCTTTATTTTTGCACATTTATGTTTTGTTCATGTCATGCATTTCCTGTTTTATTTTGTAGTTCACTATCCCTTTTCTCTGTCTTCTACATTTGGTCCTGTCTGGTCTGCCCTACCCTTATTCCGTCACACCTGCTACCTGATTGTGTCTCCCCACCTGTTTCCCATCACCCTCATTACCTCTTGTATTTAACCTTGTGTGTCTCACTTTCTCGTTGCTTGTTCTTTGTACCTTGTGTCATAGTCTAGACGTTGATTACCTTTGCCTGCCTTTTCAGACCTTGCCTTTTTGCCTCACATTTTGGATAATTCTACCTGATCTGACTGCCTTTTTGTGTACAAACCTCTGCCCGTCTGTTGGACAAACTGATTCATTGTTTCGCCGTTGTGTCCTCCTTTCTGTGCCCCGTTTCATGACAGAAGCCGTCCCAAATCAAACTGTTTGCAGACGATACCGCTGTTTACACTACAGCTTGTCTCTGTTTGTGTATATTGTTTGAAAATCTGATCTCAAAATCAACCTGGAATAAAACTGAGCCTGAAATAGACCATCTGGGTTTAAAACGGGTTGTATGTGACTTTCAAACATTGACACAAGCAGCCAAATAAGTAGGAGACAAATTACATTTGCAACATGTAGCATCTTCGTTTGGATGTTGAAACTACGCTCCTCAACATTTCTATGTTTACCTCCATTTCCAGAGCTGTCTGTAGGCTTATCCCTTGATTTATCTTAAACTGTTTATCAGCATTAGTTAGAATTTAATCCTGTTTTTTTAAAGGAAACCCATTCAGGGAAAAAAACAATGCTCTACTGCTTTCATTACACCAAGTATTTCAGTAAAACTTTGGCTAAAAAAAGGTGAAATTGCCACATGAAGAAACCTTTCCCTATCTTCATTTAAATATTGTACACATGGATTGTTTTTCAGATTTAATGCACAGCAAATTTCCTTCACTTTATATGATGTACTGCAAAACTCCTGTTCGATCACCAACCCCTGTTTTCATTCACTGGACATTAATTCCTTAATCTACTTATCTTTTAAACCACCTTTCCTGGAAAGTTTTTTATACACCCCACTCTAAAAGTTACCTATGAACCTTCACTGGATACTTGAGCTTAAATTTCCTGCTCGTGATGTGTGAAAGACCTGCCACCTCGGAGGTCTAGAAGCTACTAATAGATACAGTTCAAGTCAGGTCAAGATCAACTTGTATGCAGATGACATCATTTGCTATGTGTTCAATTTCTGGGAGTGTGTGTGATGCAGATGATTCTGTTGTTTGTATTTCATTGAGTTCCCTTAGTGCCGCCTCAAACCAGAAGCTGCTATACAAGGATGACTGTCTCCTAAGACGTGACCCAAACATGCAGAAGTGAAACAGATGGCACACACAGTTTGTTTGCAAGGTAACTAAATCATTCTCTTTCTCGAAAAAACTTACCACGCAGATTTCCTTGACTTCTGACTTGGTGATGTACCCGTTTTTGTCTACGTCAAACAGTGAGAAGGCCCACTCCAGTTTCCTGTTGGTCTTCCCTGTTGAGGTCATGTGGAGAGCAACAATATACTCCTTGAAGTCCAGTGTGCCGTCATCATTTGTGTCAAAGGAGCGGAAGACATGCTGGGCATACGTTTGGGCGTCACTTTCTGGGAAGAACTTGCTGTAGATGGTCTGAAATTCCTCTTTTGTGATGCGCCCTGTTGGACACTGCTTCTTGAAGTTTTCGTACCACTGGGCAATCTCAGTCTCTGAGAACTTGGTGTTAAGTTTAAGGTCCTCCAGGATCTCCTTGGACACAGCACCACTCTTGGAGTTTCCCATTGTTAGAGTTAGGTATTTTTTGGAGTTATGTAATGGTATGGATTTTGGGATGCAGGCAATTGACTCACAGTTTCAACTTACGGAGTGACCTCCTCTACTCTTTGAGGGAGGTAATTAGAGGACTACCCCTGTGGTATGGCTGCAGTGATCCTGGTCCTTGCCTACAGCCCACGGAGGCAAATGCTGTGAAAAGAGCAGAAGCAGCTTGGTAAGCTAATTAAGCCAATCAGCTATCAGTAAAAGCAGCATGAGGTGTCACGAATAAGGTGTAACATAGGTCAAAGCCAAAGTGCTTGTGGATCTACATATAAAGATTGGCGCGTCACAACATTAGGGTATCTGTTTAACTTTATTCAAAAAGCAAGCAAGCCAATCATCACCCACATCATTTGCATCTTTTGCAGGAACAGCAGGAAGGAATTAGATTTTGTGGTTGGTAATTCACCATCTGACAAAGGATTAGCAATTAGCAACAAGTTTTTGTTGAACATTTTTGCATGTTGTGGAAAAACTAATAAAAAATTATCATTGTGCTCTGACTAAAATGGTCAAATGCCAAATGGCCGAGGATGTTGAGAAACTTCTTTGAGACAGTGTTAAAATTGGCTGACGACTCTCTGGACTCGATCAACTTTGATTTCATCCTGTCCTTTACTTCAGTGAAAGTATGGGGTAAAATCACTCTGGAGGGTAGATTAGGATATCTAGAGGATCCATATGGCGCCACCTAAGAGGGGTTTATTTTCTGAGCTGCAGCTAAACAACCAAGTTGAGCACCTTAAACCCCGTGACTCTCACAAACAACTTCAAGATGTTTACAGTTGGTCTGTACTTTGACTTGTAGTGATTGACTGTTGCTTGTAGCTTTCTTTAAATGAATGGTTCTTTAGATTTTTTTTATAACCATATCCATTTTTTGGCCAACCAGTATGTGCAACCTCAGGCCTAATTGCTTTTACAGATGCTTGAATATGTTTGCCAATATCCACATGACATTTGAAGTTCAACTTTTGGGTCTGGTCGAAGCCAAGTTCAGTAAAAGCTGTAAATGTGCCAAAACTGTTACTTAGTCAACTTCCATATTTAAGTTACAGTAAAATACCGAATGTCCTGAATGAACAAACCGAGCCAAAATCTTTCTCGATGTAGAGATGTTTCTGTTTGTAGTAACCAGGAACTTACTTACAGTTTTCGCCCTTTATTGAATACAAACCAGTACTTAAAGTGGGCCAGTGTGCTCCAGTGTGCAACACCACCACTTCTAAATTAACCTTGGCATACCTGAACCTCTTACCAGCTGCCAGTATCATTTACTGCCCTCTCCTTGTTACGTTTTTTCTTAGAAAGAAATTATTGCACCTGAAAACATCACCACTGTTGATAGCATCCTCCTCAGGTGGTACATGACTCTCACATGCCTGTTTTTGCAGAGGGGTATCGTTAAATGAACGCAAACTTTTAAGTATCTAGAAAGTTTGGTAAATCAAGATATTGATTTGGTAACAGCACATTGTAGAAGTTACTGAATAAATATAATCTCTCTTCAAGATTTCATGCAGTCTCCTCGCATGACTAATCGTCAATCGATACTGGTGAACGATACACACGCTAACACATGAATAAGCACTGATGCAAACCAGTTTTAACCAACCTGAACCATATCAAATAAAATATGACTGATTAAAAAAATTTAATAAGTCATGAGTAAATAGAAGTTTTCCAAACTGTACCATCATTAAAGTAATAAAAATTCACACTACATGATGCTCTAGCAAAGAACAAGCCAACGAAGTTAGACTGAGTTTTGAAGCATTTGGAAAGCCAAGAAAAGTCATTGAAATATTTGGTCTTCTTGTTACTGTCATCAGAGATTTTTCCTGTTTTTTTCCTTTTTTTTGTTCTTGATTAAACTGAACCCTTGTTCAAAACCTACTCCTTCAAAAAATAGTTAAAAAAGTCAGAAGGTCCATCATTTGGAAAAGTATTTAGGAAAGTCAATCCATCCTGCACTGAATTCCTTTCTTTCCAAAGTCTTAGCGTATCCAATTCAGATTTTATGTCATCAGTGTAGTTCAGCTTCCTTACCTGTGTGAGCAGCCGATGAGTCCAGGACAAACAGTGATGCTCTGTCTGTGAGCAGCGGTGAAAATCAGCCTCCGCCTGCCGAGATAAGTCAATTAAAGTGGATAACCCTGAGGAGGAGCCACAGCAGCACCCACATGAACCCCTGAGCGCACTGAGCTGTCGTTTCCTCTTTTTTTATCCCACAGTCATCCCCACATTTATTTAAAAGGTGTTTCCCACAAACTGGATCAGGAGGATTGCCCAGTGAAGTAAATCTTGGACAGCGTTATCGCAAAAGAACAAAAGTAAATCATAATGGAAAATTAGAAAGATGTTGACTCAATTAAACCAAACACAATTTCACTTTATTTATAAGTTTTGGTTTGGTTTGGTTCAGTTGTATATCTATTTCTGCTGTGTTTAATCTGTTTAGCCCTCTGAAGGTCTTAAGGGTTGACCCTGTTAAAAGAGAACTCAAGGCAAGACCTACTTCACGTACGGATTCAGGTCTACGTTATCTTATAATCAGCCAGGCTAGAGTCAGGTCAAATGCTATAACTAGGAGTCCTGAGGTTGTGTTTTATTATTTATAGAACTTGAGTGCCTCTGAGAGGACCTGTGAGTAGGGTTAATCACGAGACAAACACATAAATGCTGTGTGTGTAAACTACCTAATGAGACTGACAAGGGATTAGATAACAAGGGTGAAGGTAGGGTCAAAAACGGTTGAGCGCCAGCGAGTCAAAGAGCGGATGGGCATCTTCCTCACAACATAACCGTGTTTTCTCCATCTGAGATGTGGTCAAATGGTCAAATGAAGTGCAGGCATGAATAACTGCATTTCCAGAACCTGTTAGCTAAAGTTCGACTGTATGACAGCTTTTAGGACCAACAGCCGGCTTCTCAGGCTCTGTTGTTCACAGTTAGCAACAAAGGGCCTTCAGCCAAGACTTCTTTTTCTGTACGCTGCCTTTGTTTACAGTCCAGCCGGCCACTTGGAAAGCAAGAATAGGGATGGTGTTAAGATCAAGGTCCAAGAGCAGACTGTTAGCTGTACTTCCATGCAAATAAAGGGTGGGGCACGATATCAGCGCAGCAATAGATGGTGTCCTGATGATGAGCTTGGGTTGAATTTTACTATTTCAGTAGAAAAGTTAAGCCCAAGATACATTTCCATGCCAGTTTGAATCACTGCATCAGCGCTTTATCACTCAATCCAGCGAATAAAGGGAACATGAACGGAAGGGAAACGGCAGGAGAAGAAAGAGCATTTTATTAGACCATGTCCTGTTATTGTGTCTTATCATAAAGCATTGTACTGTATTGACGTGTTTCTGTGCAACATCATCGCAGATATGCGCGTGCAGCCACAGGTCAGAAAGCGGGACATTTCTTATTTGTTTCAATAGAGACAGAAAATGACAAGGTGCTGTAAACTGCACGAATCAGCAAAAGGATGGACGGAAACTGTTAACATCCCGAGGGGATCTCATCCTTTGTGGCTCCAGGCCATTAAAAGAGCGGATTGGGGTCCTGAAGATCCGTAAGGCAGTAAGAGTCTGTGCAGTGCCCACTTCGTGTCAGGTATTTATGTACACACTGGGCCAAATCGATTTTCCATCAAATTACATTTTATTGCAATTGTATCAGGGAGAACTTACAGCACTTACGGCAAACAATACAGCATCTTCATTGATATCCATTCATTCCGAAGCAGGTTTTTGCCCCCAGGTTACGCACGCACCCATTATTGTTTGTACAAGAGAAATCCGTCTATTGTATGATTTAGTTCCATGCATTGTCGTATCGTATCGTGAATCGCCCAGCAGCATGTGTAGATAGATTTCATGATGCACCATCTCATGGACATGAACCAGGTCTCGTTATTTCATATGATATATTATATTCATACATCATTTCAGACCTGTTAGGACCGCCTATCCTTGATTTATGTGAGGCTACACAGCCAATCAGATTTTTCCAAAGATTTGTTGAATTTACTGTCTTTTTGCGTCGTTTTTGAACAAATCAACCCATCCTGGATCTCGGAGGTTCCCAGATATCATTAAACATCTTATCATTAGTTAGTGAGTTAGTTAGTAGTTTCTCAAGTCTTTTCATGTAGCTTATTTACTCTTTACTCTTTTTACTCCTGTTCCAGTCGTGGGTTATCATTGTTAATTTTCTCCATCAGAATAAGTGAAGGCAAGAGTGTTAAGGTTGGTTTACTTGTCACTAGCATTACAGTACACAGCAGGTTTAATCTGCTGTAAAAATAAACCTGATCAAATGAAGTGGCGAAGTAAAACTCCTTCAGACTTTCACGCAAGAAAGTCTTAAAAGATTAAATCCAAGGAGTGGCGGCGAATGGCTCTGTTTTGTACTGTGAAGGGTTTAAATGTTCTTAGCTGAGTATGGACAGATGATCCACCATCTGCTCTGCTTCATCGAGGACAGTGGTCCCTCTGTAGGTGTGAATTACCTGACTGGAGCATGATGGGACTGAAGTCTGAACCTTTCAGGGCTCAGACATCGTGACTTTTGAGACCTTTGACCTCACATCTCACCTCCTTCAGCTGGCTACTTTGACTTTAATGGCAGCAAAAGAAGATTTGCCGCTCTATAACCTTGAACTTGAGTGAGGACAAAAAAAATACCTGTGTGTCCACGTGGATTTTTAGAAATGTCTTTACCTTTTCTTTTTTCCTGTCTATGGTAGAATTGAAACCCTCAAAGTAATTTCATTGGCTCGTTTCAAGCAAAATCTTCCTGTCCAATATTGTCAATGTCAACGTCAGCTTTGTTTACATTCTACATTTAAAAACAGCCAGTGGCCTACCAAAGTGCTTTAAAGTAAAATAGACAGAAATAATAAAAAAAAAAACTATAAAAACAATAAAAGCATAAAACATATAAAAACATAAAACAACAATATAGATAAACATAGCAATTAAATAAAATACCCAATAAAAGTAGCTATACTTCCTCAAAAGGTAAAGTCAACAGGTGCGTCTTCAGAAGTGTTTTAAAATTGGAAAGGCTGTTCGCAGTACGCACCGTCAGGGGTAAAGCTCAAACAGTCAGGTTTATACTATCATTAACAATGCAGTTATCTAATTTGTTGATTTTATACTTTTCCTGTCTCTCAGCTTCCAAATTACACCCAAAAAGTTAAAGAAATTTAAAAAAAGTCAAAAACCCTGCATTAAAGCTAGCTGCAAATATTATTACATCTAGTAACTAGCTTACAGGTTAAGAAACAGTTTCAAAAACTAACATGAATAATTGGCTTTGGCAGAAATCTCCTTTTTCAAATGAGTTAGCTTCATAACGTATGTAAATTTAGCCAGTATTCATTCCTTTAAAACATGTGGCGTCAACACGAACTAAATAGCTAGCTAGCTTATGTTATAGCTAATAAAATTAAAAAATAATATGCATGCTTTCTACATTTTTTGCTTGTTGAAATATCTTAAAATATTCTTAAAAACTAATCCTCTGGCATAGTAGGTTAACTATGCAACTCAAGAAAAAAGTTAGTGACGGTCTTTTCGAAGGAGGTTGCAACATAGGTGTTGCCTATGTATTTATGGGTGTAGTTTTAATTATTTTATTAGTTTTAACTCTGCGCTGGTTTTACTGTTTTAATGTCTGATGTTTTATTGTCCCTTTTTTTAATGCATTAACTGTAAAGGCACTTTTTAATTTCTTTTGCTTGTCACAATGACAATGAAATTCTATCTATCTATCTATCTATCTATCTATCTATCTATCTATCTATCTATCTATCTATCTATCTATCTATCTATCTAGGATGATCATCAGTGGAGGTTTCATGTCTAAGGTTTATCTGTTCTCTTTGCCTGGGATGAGCTACTATTCTCACTTTATGTCATGCTTCATATGTTTAAGCCACGAGTAGTCATTGTTGAAGGTAGCAGGTTAACTAGCTAAGTAAAGGTTAAACTTTGGATGACACCTGAGGATCCAGGTGTGAACGTAGAAACATATTAGATAAAATTACAGCACACAGTATATATGAACCAACAACAGCAAACCCTTAGCGTGTCTAATGCATTCAGCTCCATTAGCATGACATAATCGCCAGTAGACATCCTCCTGGGCCACCGCTTTCATTGGTGAATCGTTTCTTTATCGCGGGACAAGTATAGAGCAGCATTTACAGTAAGCTCTCTTGGCAAGCTTCTGATCTTTAAAATAAAGCAACTTAATTCCCCTGCTGACGTGCTGGAGTCTAACTTCAGCTGCCCACAGAGACGTTGGCACCGATAGCCTTGGCTCAACAGGTGCTTTGGATCTTGCAATCTGGTTGCTTTAGAAAGCTCTGCCAGAGGACCTGAAAAAAACAGCAGCCTTTTAAACACCATGGTTTAGACTACTACTAGGCTAGCCTTTAGAGTAAGACAGTTGACACAAGAGGCAAAAACTATTCACATGTAGAGCATTTACTTGTTCTTAATGCACGAATGGAGATCACCTCTTTACCAACAAGTGGTAGCTTAGCCTGACTTCCCAATATGGTGATCTCCACGGTTGGTTTCCATGATGTCTCAGGAACCAATTAGTCACATCACGAAGACCATGCATGTTTCATATGGTCTTTGGTTGAGCTGTGTTACAGATAATACATAATCAACAAAGATACACAAATGGGGTCCATGTTCTTTCTAAAAAGTAGCATGTAGATGGAAACAGTGACAGAGAACTTTAATTTCTGATTTTATCGAATATTTTCCGGGTATTGCTGCAAGTTTACACCCAACCAGAACTTGTTGAATTGAGTTGAAAACATTGTGTGTACTAATCCAGAAGTATGCAGTATTGTGTCATCGACATAAAGGTGAATTTAAAACTTCATAATTTTCTGCAAATCTATGCAAACACAGTGTTTCCCCTAGAATTTTATTTGCAGCGCTGCTTCTGGGTTCACTGTCACCCCCACTCTCTTGCCGCTCATGGATCTAAGCTGTTACGTTCAGGTTACGTTACGTTACCCGCGCTACTCACTATAGACCCTGTA